GTAGTAGTAGTAGTAGTAGTGGATGTGCTACACGAGTAAGTGTTTCCAGAATAGATGATGGTAGTGGTCATGCTTTAGTTAGTTGCAATGTTTCTGCTTGTAACACTTGTCTGCTTTCTTTCCTGCGCACCTTTGCGGGGTGCCGTCTCGCAGTGCCGACGCGGGGTTCAGGTTCGTCTAACTGCCATTGCTGTCGGGTGTTTGAGGCTTGCTTCCTGGAACCGGTTGAAGCATCAGCACTCGACGATCTGCAACCAAGACGCTCGAGCGTGACTGCTTGGAAAATCTGCCATGACGGTGTGCAGTTTGGTCTCGCAGGCTATCCTGGCGTCATCCCGGCGTGGTTCGTCGTGTAAGCACACAGTATGTGTGATCATATGTATGTCTCAACACGGCTTTCTTTGGATCCCAAACTCTAACGCTGAGCAGCCCATCCCGAAAATCCGGGAGATCAAGCTTCGAGGTCCCCAAGCCTTGCCAAGGAAGGCTTCTTCTTGGTTCGGGCTGCTAGCGCTGGACTGTCTCTCTGGACTCGAGTAGTGGCTGAGTTTCTGCTTATAGTTCACGCATCTACAGGGCACTGTCATGCACTGTCTGATCGTAAACTCGATTCTTGCCAGGCGCCCCCTCCCACAGCACCTCCTCCGCCGGTCTATGCCCATGCAGGGCCGAGGATGGACACTACAGCAAAGGGCTTTGGAGAATTTGATAGTTGGGAGTCTGGGAGAAGAACGTGCACAGTTGGAGATCGTGGTAGAAGCAATGGCTACTTCTCTACTTCGGGCGATTCGTCCTCGTACCTTCTTAAGTAGAAAACTCGGTACGATGTTTCTAAAGCTGTCAGGCCACTCCGAGGAGCTCCAAGCTTGCTTGAGGTCTGAAAGTCAAAACCTCCACGACGTTCTCTTTCCACCGAAACCTGGAGCTGCGGTTTGTCTGATGTCCGTGAGGATGCCGCCCCCACGCTAGCACTGAGAGCCTGCTTTCAGGGATCAGAGGCTAGGGGGAAGGCGGGTGTAGAGGAGTAGGGTTGGTAGGGTTATGTTCCAGACTTCTGGAAGACCTTGTCTATGTGCTTGGGGGACTCCGCTCTAGACTCAGACATATAATCTAGGGTTTGGGAATTGCGAGTTCGGTGACGTGCTAGCTTCTAGGAATCAGCAGTTGCGGGCACGAGAACGAGAGGAAAACACCTCTTGTTGTCTTGCAGCGGGCCATATATACTGGCCTGCGCCCGTGACATATGGCAACAGAGAGCAGGCATGCGACCATTCCTGGCTAGCACTCCAGGCCAGCGGTTTGTTGTTGAATCAACGCCAGGCATCGGTGTTGTTGTAGTCTTGCCCTTCCAGTTTTCTGCAGGTGTGGCCTTGGATTGCTTAGCTGCAGTGAATGGCCACTATGGTCTGACCCTTACACCGGGCATTTCCAGGAAACTCAAAAACGAGTTTGCGAGCCCGACACGTCGCCCTCCGCCTTGCCTTAAAGCCGGTGCTGCACAGGCAGTCAAGCATCCTCGCATACATGAGCCTATCACCAGCTCGATTTTTTCGGTAGTGCACCTAAGATCATCCGAGCCTTGGGGTTCAGACCCCGGGCTGTAAAGGGTTGGAGCTTGTGCCGAAGTGGCCCAGCTGGGTCTTAGGAAGCACAGAGTGAGCTGGAGAGTGGAGACGGCAGACCTTCACCCAAAGCTTCTTGTCATCACCATTACGATCATGTCTAGGCTTCTTCTCTTTCAGTACTTTGCTTAGCAGTTCGCAGTCTTGCTACTGGTACCGTTCCGCCTTGCCACAACTGCTATGACGACATGTATCATCGTCGGTCTTCTATCTCCATATAATTGGTCCCAGCATGACAAGTCACGACAAGGCATGATAAGGTAGTCGTCATGCTTCGAACTTTGCATGGTGTTACGGCTAGTTTCAGCAACAAGTGCAGTAATCATCATGTTTACCCGTAATCTTAATGTGTTGTGGCGTTGCAGACACTTGCGCGCAACAGAGCTCATCTGACAAGATGGTCATTTTCTAGGACTTCGGTGATCCTGCTGTTGTCGTGGGTGATCTGTCTTTCAAGCACGAATGGACAAACTTCAAGAAGTCTCCTCGTCTGCCTTTTCTGGTTGGTCTTGCTCGTCTCCACGCGCCGGTGAAAAAATCGAAGCTCTGCCAAAATACAGCAGGGTCTTTGAGCTCTGGGCTGAAACCCGACGGGGCAGGGCGGAGTTCAGTGGCGCATCACTAGCTCCACACAACTTTGATTTATCGACTCATCATGAGACCAGAGATCAATGGCAGAAAGGTCCCTCATCGGCATCTCCTGCCACGCGTCCGACAGAAGAAAGCGCTTCTGCACAGTGCTCGAAGCCAGTGATTCGCAAGTTTCCTGGACAGCAGGAGAGAGGCTCAGAGATTCCAGCATCTAGCATCCATATACCAGAAACTGAAGCCAACCCGTTTCCCTAATATTGACTCTAGAAGTCAAAGCCTTCTTGAGGGCTTTGCTAGAAAAGCCTCGGAGGAAGCTCCCCCCCCACCTTATTTCCCTCCCGACCCCTCCATTCAGATCCCGAAGTGGACGCAATCGCCCCAAGCCTCCGTGCACGTGTACATAGCGCATCGGCCCGGACCCCAGACAGGATGTCTCCAGGAGGCCATCTGAATAGATGGGTAGTTCTCTAAACTAGGGTGCCTTTTTAGGTCTCCAGTGTAGCACGGAACCCTTAAAAAAACGGACCCCCAGAGGGACCCTAATTTAGAGAACTACCCAGATGGTTGCAGTGTGTGACGGCTTGTCCGAGCACCAACTTCCAAATCCCACCCCGAAGCCATCGCCTCAAATGCAGAAGTCCAAGAAACAGCAAAATCCTTCCCTTACAGTCCTTATTATGAGCCCAGTATAGTTTTCGTAAGGTATACCCGGGTATACCCCAAAGTCCCTGCGACTCCTATTCGGGCTTGAGCATATAAAAACCCCAAAGTCCCTGCTCATCCGGCTATAACTTTAGCATAATAAACCCTCCAAAGCCCATCCAGACTTCATTCCAGCCAATTTTTCGAGTGCGTCGCCTCCAGGCTGCATGTCGGCAGGGCAGGTCCGACTGCGGGAAATTCAGAAGGCGACCGTTTGAGCAATATGTCTTGATAAGATGTAGTACACTCTACTGTAGTATAAGATAACATAAGCTAATCCAGCATGATAGGTTACAATAGCACATAGTGCGTTGCTGTGGGAAATAGAATATGATACCATACAACAACTGAAGAGTGTAAGCGCTTAGAGTTTAGAGTTTCGGGGTTGAGAGGGTTCGGACACGAAGACATTCTCAAGTCTCAAGTCAGGGATATGGGCTACTGGGCCATGTAAAGCTGATGAGGACTGACGGAGAGCAGAAGGCTTTCATTCTGTACTCATCTATGTGGCAACCGCCCGAGATGCCGAAACACTCGAAAGCTGATGCTAACTGCATGGGGTGTTATTTGCAGTTGGTGTGTGCTGTCGTAACAGGGTGGTAAGATGCCATGCAGTTGCACAGGTGACACACAGCTCTGCAGTTAGCCAGCAGGTGTACAGTGAATGGTGCGTCCAAGCTGCGGAGATCATCCTGGCCGCGCGGGTGGACCATCCGAGCCGGATGCCCGCTTTGGGGAAAGCTGATTTTCTGGAGAAGGACTATGTTCGACTTTGTCGGGTCCGGAATCCGGGGTTGAGCAGGTGAACTCCCGCCTTCCTGCGTCCTGGTCCAGGTTCTCCGTTGCATGTCGGATTTGTTACGAAGATTTCCTGGCTTTTGACGCCCGAGTTGGCCCTTTCCCTTGAACTGCTAAGGTTTGTGCATGGTGTGACAATGCTACGCTGTCCCTGAAGATGTTCGAGCTTAGCTTCAAAGGATGTGGACTTTCCAGCTGAAACATCCGGCCCCACACCGAGGGCCGACTGGGACCCCGCAGCAGACGTCGGCCAGTTTTAATTTGAAGGCAGGGTTTCCAGGGATCGGAGGGAAGTGGGGGTTTCACTTGTCGAGTCATGCCCGGGAACACCCCATCCGAGTGACCAGAAGAACCCAGGAGGAAGGTTTTTGTTGCACTTCTCTGCTGCCTGGGAGGTGCCCGAGCTCTTCAACGTTCGAAACGAGGCGGTGGCTCGGGCCGAGTTCTTTCAACTCCGGACGCAAAGGCCCGCCTTCGAGAAGTACCGGCTTCGTCAAGACAATACGGGGGCAGTCTTTTTCTATCATCAGCTATTCGATCGATGATGGACTGACATGATCCCGGCTCGGTATTTTAGGGTGCAGAGCCTTGTATGCCTCTGAAACTTCAGGCCTTCTGCCTTCCATCAAGCTACGGCAGTGATGTCATCACGATAGGCGATGAACCGAAAGCTTCTCTGAGGCTCCTTAGCCTTTGCATGGCTTCCGGGATTGCTTGCGGTTCCTAAACTGTTGTGGCTGTGGTGGTAAAGCAAAAGGCTATAAGGCTACAAGCCTAGTTGCCTGCAGGTCGTTCCAAGTGGAGATCTATGTAAGCGGCGAAGACGAGGACACCCTTTCATCTTGGGGGAGGGTTCTCGGCTGGCTGGCAGCAGCTAGCAAAGCAAGGCTATCAGCACAGGCTCGAAGCAAGTCCGACGTCCGAAGGAAGCTTGGTGGGAATGACATAGACCGTAGAGCCGTTTAATGTCGAGGCTGTCATGGGCCACCAAGAATGGAACCAAACGCCCCAAGAGATCCAAGATGACTGCTCATCAGCAGGAGGGAACCGGTGAGGAGGTCCGCCCATCGGATCAGGGCCATTTGCATTTCTGTGTCGTCCGACGGGGCACTTTACTGTTGTTTCGAAGAGATGGTGGTGGGGCACTCAGACCATGCAAGACTTCAGGGACGAAGCGCATGCAAGCTGCCGCGGGCGAGGACAGTAAAGCCAGGTTGAGGTGCCGCACACGTATGATCACGAGTTGCTAAGTGTTCGACGTGACAGCAGGAATCACCTTCTGCTCATGTGTCCAATTGCTACTTTGCCAATACGGATACTTTGCAAGTCTATTTCCCCGCCCTCTCACTATCCCCGTAGTTGTTTCTCGATTTCAGCAACCTGAACCTGCGAGTCCGAACCAGACGCGAAGGAGGAATCCGAATCTAACAGCAGCTGTAGTTGGAAACGCCAGGCTGTCTCGTAGACTTGCAGGTTTAAGTTGAAAGGTTTGCAGCAAGTTGAATACCATCACTTAAGTCGCCACTTGCCTTAGAGGTTCTCAGATAAAGACTCCTGTAGGGTCGCAGGACTGCCGTGACATCAACGTTTGAAAAAACACAGGCTTGTGGGCTGTGGAGTTGAACAAACCTCTATTCAGACACTCGCACCTGTTCTGAGCACCAGGTTTTAAACTGAAAAATTCCTCGATTCCCTCTCGTGCTTGTTCGGACACTGCATCTCCGACGGCTTCTGTCCCAAAGCATAGCATGACACCCCGCACCTGGACGTCCATGGGCAATTCCCAAGCAATCTTCTCTATCTGGCCCTGAATACTTGCAGGCCCGTCCATAGATGAAGCTTGATTTGGTCAATTCTGCTGCCGCCCCTTCCACCGGTCCCATTGAATTTTGCTTCGCACACCAGGCTGGCCAGCTATTAGAGCGATGGACCTTCACGTCCCAGAGCCCAGGAGGAGAGAGCAAAGGACGATCTAACGCTTGGCTTCGACAGTTTCAGGGTAGGGGAGAGCGCAGGGGGATTTGAAGCAGTCCTTTGTTGCGATTTTGCGACATTCCCGCCCAGATGCTTAGCTTTTCCATAGGCCATCTCAACAACTGCTGACCTTCAAGCACTGGCGTCGAGGTACCTCCCAGCTGCAGCACAGCCGGATCCAACGGCTCAGCTAGACAGGCCAGGTAGATGCCTGGATTAGTCCGAATGTGCATCAGAAGGTGAGAGTTGTGGGCCTGAAGCCCGAGAGCATTGTGCAGGCACAACCAAACACTCGTTCGACGGCTGAGTGTCGTGCTGCGGACACTTCTCTTTTTCGTGCGCCTGCTGCCGGTTCGGACCCTGGTTGGCACAGTATTCGGCTTCGCACTTCGGCGCATTGACATGATGCACTGTTGGTGGCGGCCGTGGGTGTGGTGGTGTACCTGCCAAGCAGCACAGTCAACATAGGTCGCATGGTGTTTCTTCCCAACTCTTCTGATCTTTGGAGCTGACCTCCCCATCGCTAGCTTCTGGAATTGCATTGTTGGCATGCCTGCATATGCAGGATAGATTGGTTAGAACACTAGTCACTAGATAGACGACAGTACAACTGTCAGTCAACCTGTACAGGTGTACGGTACAGCAGATGCATAAGGCCTCCTCCGCAGAACAGTATATCTAACCACCGACATTCCGATACCTGGATGCCTTCCTTGCGAGTCATACGCTCATGCATCTATGCATCTAAGTTCTTGCATGTCTCCGTGTCTGTATACCTTTGGATAAACGTTTGCGGGTGTCTGCGTTTTGTACAGCACTGTTGAATGCAGTTATCATTGCAAGTTTTGCCGCCGTTCATGATGCCTGGCATATTATGTGCAGCCGATGTCCTGTAGTAAGAATGCAATATGTACAGTTTTGTCTATCCGTTCGTATTCATGAAGTCAAAGGCTACAAAAGTAGGAGGAGGTGCAGAGCAGCCTCTCATAGCCTCTCTATTCGGATATTATGGCCAAAACTAGCATCGACCAGCACGACATACCGTAATGCAGCACGACGTGATGGGAGTGCTGCACAGCAGCATAATACATGCTCCCGGTTCGGCCGCCCCCCCCCCCCNNCCGCCCCCCTGTGGTGTGGTGTGGTTCGCGATTTGGATCGCCCTGGGTGTTTCGAAATCGTCATCATCATCATCATCGTCGTCGTCGTCGTCGTCATCATCGTCATCCTCGTCCTCATCCTCATCCCTTTGCTCCTCATCATCATCATCATCAACATCATCATCGTCATCATCATGTTCCTTTCTTGGGCCAACTGCCACATGAAGCGGGCCTGACAGGAACGCGATCCTGGTGACAGTTGCACTTTCAACACCCTCACGGCAGAGTCCTGGGTGGAACGTGTCCACTGTCACAAGGATCGGGTGTGTTTGGGACGAGATCCTCGTGACAGTTGATGGTTTTGGAGCCAGGTGCGCACATATTTGGACCTGGGCATGCCGGGGGGATGAGGGGGGGGGGGGTGGGTCAGCGAACCGAGAACCGGGATCATACATACTACCTCTTTCTTCCGGTATTATGGCCGAAGCTAGCATCGACCAACCGACATACCGTAGTGCAGCACGGCATCATAGGTTGAAACATAAGAGAGCAGCACGGCAGGCATACTATGTACTAAGAATACCTGCAAGTAGAACAACGATAGTATATGACATACTTAATGCCATAGGGTCATATGGTATTACGTACACATATGCTGTACAATGCTCTACAGCACTATACAATAGTTCAGTACTATGTCGTACCATATAATACTATGAGCTGCATTGTCATTTACATTCCTGCCATGCCCATGCCCAAGCCCAAGGCCCATGGCTTGTGCCGCAGCGCACGCAGCGGCGATCCGGCAGGCTGGCTAGACCGGTGCAAAGCGAGACGAGGAGGAGCTTCCTGTGAACGGAATTCATGTTCGATGGGCTTTTGGGACATGTTCAGGACAGTTAGTTCTGAATCTGGCTTGAATTTATTGGTTCTGTTGGGGTTCCGTGCCGAGTCTGTGGTCTAGTTCCAGACCTGGGAAAGCAAGTCGAGCCAGCAATACCACCGATTGTAGCTGCTATTTTGCTGCGTGCTTCCTAGTCTCTGTCGTGACCGTCATTGCCAATGTTACTGGCATGGGCCCCATGACAATTACCACACTGGCCGCGATGGGTGCTTCTGGTGGTGATGATAATGTATGTGATGGCGGGATAACCTGCTGACGCTCAAGATGATGGTGATGGTTGTTGTTGAGAGGGTTACCATGACAATAATGGTCGCGAGCATTATCATGAGATATGATGATCGTTTTCCTGAGTATCATTCTTGGCTCTATTCTCCACATCTCTCTTATACAAGAAGGACAATCACCGGCACGAAAGATCGTCAACTCCTCTTCTAATACTTACGAAGGTTCTGAACTAAGTAGCCTTATGAAAACTCTGACACTACGTGCGCGGCAGGTCGTCCTATTCACGCAAAGTCAGCCTTGCGTCGCATGAGCTGACTAAGCCCAGAACTGCCAAGCCTTACGCCAAGTCATCCCGGTGTTCCTTTGCACTCTCGGCGTTGAGATTGTCCACGGCGAGGTGTACTTGATGCTCCAAGACCAAAGGAGTCCGACGGAATGAACCAAAGAACAAAGCCAGAGCCGCTTAGCCTTGAGCAAGTTTGCCAGGCCAGCCGCCTCCCGCCAGGCCGGGCTACTGGGGGCGAAAAGGGCCTTCTCGTGGATGTTGTACGCTGGGATTACTTTCACCAGCTCGTTGATTCTTCTCCCGGAGCCCATAGGGCCCAAGCCCGGCTGCCACTGCAGGTATCACCGCTTCCGGGTTGAGGCCCGTCTTGCCGATGCCAGTGACTTGCTTCGAGTCTGTGAGCTTCCCCTGAACTCACCCAAAGCCTTAGCAACTCTTTTAAAACTCGGAGAGCTACGAAGACTGTTATTCGTGCGCATAGTCCCCCTACTCCTACGCTGCTAGCATCTTCAAACGCACACCATATTCGCCAGCATCCATGTTTCAGATACGTGTTCGTCGTGTTACCATTCTGCTCAGAACCAACAGAATCAGATGCATGGCAACTGTGATGGTATGGCCAGCACGCTTCCTAAAGCGAAGCCTGATGATAAGACCCCAAACTTCAAATCGAAAAACCAGCAAATCCTAAGCCACAGCGGCCAAAAACACTAAGTCCAAGACCCTGAAAGCCCTAATCCCTGAAGTCGACCTAAACTGACTTTTCGTGGTGATTATAATTATCATTACTCTTGATCTTACATTAGTTATTAATGACCATTCTTATCTTTATTCCTATGTTAGTATTCTTGGCCAGGCCTGGCCCCCGACCTCCCGCACGCCGGCGGTGCAGGAGCTGGTCTCGCAGGCTGGGTCGGCGACTTTGGGCTTGGGGGCCGTTAAAGGTTGAGGGATGACAGTTAGGGAAGACGAGTGTTACCAGATGTTAAGGTTTCGGGATGATGATGTTCACAGTTGTGAGCATACTTTCCAGTAGTACTAGCAAAGTCAACAGTC